CGCCTACCCCACTAGTGTTTCAGTTCTGTGGACGCTGCTCAACCCTTGGGACTGCTTGCGGTTATCTCTGTTGCGCTGTCGTCATTGGTCACACAACTATCTAAGTAGGGGAAGCATTCCACTAGCTAATTCCTGACTATCAAGCATCACGGACGAGATGGACGCAGCACCACTTTGAACTCTAAAAGTACAAAGCGAGAACAAAATGACGTAACAACACTTGTTAGTCTACCAAGTGCTTTTTGCTCGTCCTTTATACGTTCGAACAGAGAGACGATGCCATCGACGCAGTTTTTCTCCAGTTGCCCATCAAATGCCAACATTTTCGAGACCATTTAGTTTGTTCTTTAGTTCTTTGCCTACAGCGAAATTCATCAGGAACTGCGAAAGAGGGCACCCTTGAAGAACGCTGCTGCCGTTTACGAACGACCTAATTTATTTGGTATAGAACCTCACACGGTCAGAGGTATTTGATTACGGTGGTCTCAGTAAGTTAACGTATTTCTGGGGCATTCCCTTTCTAGGAAGAGCACTCTTTAGAGCTTCGCGACCAACTGAGTTGAAGGGTCCTTTCAAGTCAAGGAAGTCGGCGATCGTTGGTCGACGGTGAGTGTGACGCAGCTGAAGGACCTGATACAATCCCAAAACGTTCATCCACAACCTGGTAGGAATCTGGATTACTGTTCATGGATGTTCGTCTCTCTTAAAGGAGTCAGATGTTGAAGTAGGACGGAGGCTAACACTTTGCTGGTGATTGAAATCAAATTTATCCCGCGGTGGTTTTCGCAATCGTTGCGAAATCCTTTTCTGAAAATGGGAATGATCAATTATTCGCTCCAAGATGAAGGAATGCGATCAGCGTCCAAGTATTGCGCAGTAAGTTAGAAATGGAGCTTAGGAGATTGTCATTCCCAGTGTTGAAAAGATTGAGAGGTAGCCCGTCCGGTCATGCTGCCTTTCGTCACTTTAGAGCTGGAATGCAATAACTAACTTCTGGTTCTGCCCTAGAATCGCACGTCACCACCCATGGAGCTTCAGTTGCAGGGGACGTAATCTGCCTAGCGCCAGGTCAGCTGAACTGTTCGTTGAAGTATTCCGCCCAACGATCAAGCCGTTGTTCCTTATTGTGAATAGCTTGCCACTTTCATCGCAGATTGTTTCACTAACTGAGTTCGTCAGCTTCCCGTGTTGCGTATCAGTTAGAACAATCTCATTTCCCTGATGCAGCAGCTAATCCTATTTCACTAACTATCGTTACCCTCCAGTTTTCACAATCCTTTTTGAGGCTCTTCGTGAGCTGACATTGCAGACGCCACCTTATCCTGTTTTGATCCTGGTAGATTGGAATTTGTCGGTTTTTTTGTCCATCAGGGCTACTTATTCATGAGATATCCCACTCCTCCGACGGGCTTGACTCAGACCCATAATCGCTACGGAATACATTGTTCGTTTAACCCGATCCCACTAGTCATCTACACTATCGCGTTGAGGCGCGCCTAGCTCACGTACGAGCTCTGTCTCAGAAAGTGAACATTGTGTAACCGAACTAATTGATGCAATAGAAGAACCCCAATGTACTCGAACTCGACTCACCGGATCGATCTGTTTATCCGCGCCTGTTCTCTATTCTGCAGCTTATAGTCGACTATTATCTGGAAGCACGCCTTAAAGCGATCGTGGTTAAAATCACTAACGTATGCGTGGAAATTGGCTGAACAACGCGTTTCTGGTGCATGATGTGACCAGTTGTCTCGTTTCTGTTTGTTTCTCTTTCCACAGACCACATTGCACCTTTACGAAGTTTTCACAATTACAAATCTGGTGAGTTTCTCATTAGTTTTATTCGAATGTGGGCAGTAAACGCTTTATTTGAGAGCAGTGGTTATGTACAGTGTCACAGTTCAGTTATATACGAAGTTTGTTTGCATCGTGTTTGCATTTGGACCTAAGCTACACCATTCAGCATTAATAATGTACACCATTTTCCAATACATACTGTTGCACCTCTGGTCTATGATTGTCTTGTTTGTTCAAGTGTGATTGCGATCATATATTGTAAACTCATGGTGATCATGTAGGCGTTCTACTGAGCCACCTAATTACGCACCACCTTGGGACTTTCGGTCTTGTGTGGTGTCCTACCTTGCCCGATTTCTTGTCAGCCCAGAACGCATCGCTTCGGAACTTNNNTTAACTCAGTCATCTCGTAAATTGTTTTCTTTTTCATTGCTTACGACAATTCTGTTATAATTTTGTTCGATAATTGTTGGTTGACTATGTGACTGCTGAATATCCACCTTTCTGGGTGCATAAGGGAAATGCTTGACTTGTGATCAGGAAATCTTCACGCATTTCTCATATGTTTTTCGATCGACACTTAGGTGGTCGTCATCACTTCAGCTCAAGTGGGAATCATTGTGCGCATCACAACTCTCACTACAACGGTCAGCATGGTTCTTCCGCCTACTATCGACATCGACATCATCATCGGGTATATGGCAGTACCGGCGGTGGTCAACCTGGATCAGGTACCTATGAAACTCCGTCGTCGATGCTCAGTTCCGATTTGGAATCGACCAGTTNTCCGATTTGGAATCGACCAGTTTTTTCGATTCAGAAGACGACTCTAGTCGGTAAGTCAATTTATCATCCTTATCAGTCAAGTTTTTTGATCAGATCTATGCTAATTCGTGTATTATTGCTTGAGATTTCTGTTGGAAAACCTGATAACCACCAATAAGTTTGGGAAACCGTCTTCTCCCGGATAATAAGCCTATATCGTTAAACTATTTCTTAATGGGTATTTTAAGGGTGATCAGTTCAATCAATCCCATTGTAGTTCTGAGGACACTACAAATCAATTGCAGATTTATTTGGGCTTTATGTGCGTTCACATCTCAGTTTTCGAGACTTGCTTTTACTGGCTCCCATAACTGACTGTCAGTTCATATGATAGGGTTTCATCCCGTTTTCTGTTACCTTCAGGTTCAGATCTACAGGCACCGTTCACTAAAGGAGGACGACTAGGGTTCTAACTAGCAACTTATACAACATCGGGTAAAATAAAGCGGACTCCGTTCCTTCTACTGACTTTTCTCTGTTTTCCAATAATCAACTCTCTTCGTTATGTGAATATTTTACTGGTTATCTTAATTTCTACCGTCACCCTGTTGCAACTATTTATACTAGAACTGATAGACCTTCCCCCCATCCTAAGCGAATCCTTCATGCTAAAGAAACGGCTTACATGACCGATGAGCGCAACATTGTTAGGGGACTATATGTACTAATTAGACCCTAAACGGAATGCACGTTGAAGCTGTTTCGAGTAATAAAAGTTGTCATAAGATGTGTTCTACTTTGCGGAACTCTGCGGCTCAGGCATCAGCTCTTTTCCGAACGTTAAATATATAAATGATCAATTGGTTTCTATATCTGCCTCAAGCGTCGTTCCACCTTTTCAAACTCATGGGGCAACTAACCGTTTTTCCGGACGAGGTTCTCCGAGTCTTGATGGGACACAAGGCCAGCAAGGCCGTGGTACTGATTTATTTGTGCCCTATTCGCTGAAAACATTAACTCCTTCCTGCCCGTATTTCCTCATACAGAAACAGCCTAGTTCTTAAGTTGGCTTTTGGTTAATCATAAAAATTTTTATCCGCCGTAGGAGAAGACTTGCGTTAGCATTTTTCCTTAAACCACGGTATCGAATTTAATTTCCGTTTGCTTGTGAATCGAAATTGTCATATATCCACTGTACAAGTTCACAGATTGCTTGAAGTTCACCATTTGATTGCCTAAAGCGTTTCTTGATTTCTTTTTGAGACTTAGTCAATTACTTCTCCACTATTTTACCGGCGAACAGGCTACTTTGAGTCCAAAACCCAACCTAAAGGATCAGGAAACTGGATTTTATCTAACCTCTACCCTCTGTCTTTGTTTGAGTGTTTACAGCAATTGACCATGCACTTTCGTGCGCCGGTTTTGGTTCCTGTTTCATGACTGTCCATTTGGATGAAGGGGTAAAGGGCAGATTGGAATGTTCAAAACAGTTTCACTGTGAAAACTAGGGAATACTGGAAGGCTAAGGTAGTTGGAATAATACGTGGATTCACGATCGGCACTGTTTACAGCACTCAGTCATATCACTCTACTACTATCCGTCGATTACAAAGATCTCGTTGTCCCCATCCAGGAAGCCTAACATGGCTTGTGTGAGCAAGCTTCCTGGTCAGGGTCTTCATACTCTACTGGGTCTTATTTTATTCACCTTATACATTTTCCACCCATCACCTACCTCGGCAAACAGCACGCGCCCTGGCAATCTATTTGTTGACATGCGCCAGCCAACGCAGAGGTCGACCACTTGCTTCAGTAGGCGACCGCGAACATCGTCCTGTGTAGGTCGTTGGATCAGTGAGGACCACATCGTAACAACACGTTAAGTTGCAGCCTTTTCGTGAGGGCAACCAAAGTACGTAGTTGCCGGACAGTTATAATTAGGTCTGGCATGATTGTGTACAAACAAGTGTGAAATATAATAAAATATAATAAATTTACAAACCTCGGAAGCCTCAGTATGATCTCAGTGATATGATATCAGTGACTCGAGTTGTGACTGGTCACGCTTGCCTTGCACCTGGTGAAACGCTCCTATAGCCTCTACTGAGGAAACCGAAGTGAGAGGACGAAAGTTGGATATTCCGGGCTATGACCGGGGTGGTGAACCGCCACTTCACCCTGTAGAATTGGTTCAAAACACTGATTCGAAACTAATCAGGAATGTGCGATGTATGCAGTGGCGCTCGTGCACTTACTCACTTTCAGCGAGGGCCTAGTCTACTTATTTTCTGTATCTTTTTAATTTTTCTTCTAACGTTCCTCCTCCCCCCCCCCGCATTTCTCCGTCCTTTATTAGTCGACCTAATGGGTAGCTGAAAGGCAACAACCGAAACCCTTAAAAGATAGTGCAAGTTTAGTGGTTACCAAAATTAAGACTATGCTGGCAGTTTTTTTTTTATAGGATCAGCATCCCCGATTTCCACCGGTGTATGCCAGTCTGAGGATTAATTATGTTGTCAGAGGCGTCAAATTTTTCCCGATTGATATATACAAACTTTGATTCGATCGATCGAATTGATCTGATGAATCGCATGACCGACGGATCGTGGTCTCAGTTTAAGAATTAATTACTCAGCTAATCATGGATTAATTTCTTTAATATCGGAAATTCATGGTACTTACAGGTAATGTTTGACTGCGCTCAGCACAGTGGTCACCTCTTTACTATCATCGACTCTGAATTGTAATAGGTTGAACTCAGAAAAGGTGTGCGGATAAGTGTGCTACCTACGATAAGCAAACTGTTTGCTTATACATTTCTCCGTCTCTCGACTCTACTCATCCGGTCAGTTTTAACTTCCCCGGTTAGTCCGAGCTATTTATTTATTTTTACCCTAATTACTTATATGCACAAACATTGCCAATATTCAGTGAGCCTCATCTGTCATTCATCCTTATCATTTTTGCGCTCAAATGATTGCCATTGCACGTCCACTTTGTCCTGTTTCTGTCGTTCACTCATGCTTTCTTTTTTCACAGCATCCCTAAATTAAACCCATTTCATTGATTCAAGTCGCAATGTTTTGCCCGTCGATCACTTCTATCTTTGGGTGGGGATTCGTGGTGTAGGTTTTCATGGATTTCTAACCATGGCATCGGCCCTCGAATGCCCATTAAAAAAATTACTACTCATTATTTAGTTGTCTTTGCCTTGGTAACGGGAATTCGGCTCGTTCCGAGTCTCTTGTTAAGCAAACCGGAAAGCATTTGGGGGAGAACGTTGTCAGTTGGGCGTTCACCCACTCTTTTCACCCGAATCGTAACTAAAGAGCTGCTGTGTGTCCGTCAGTAACTATCACTTTCTTTTGTTTTTCTCTTCTATGGTGACTTGGTTGCTTTTTCGTGTTTTGGAATATTTTGATGTGCTTCTTCGCGGGCTGTTCAAACCATTTCACACTGCTTTCCTAGTGCATATGGTCTCGTAAACGTTCACGTGCTAACGGGTTTCCACTCTCTAAAGTTATCCTGTATCGGATTTTTTTTTAGAAACCGTACCCATCCAACGGCCCACGAAATCGGTTGATTTAGGTGCTTTTAGCCTGTCTGTTTCTGTTAGCACGGCATACTGCGCCGTGTTTCACGTTAGTTTTTGGTGCTACTCAACATCAGTTGGCTGATAAGGTCATGAACACTTCTGTACGTCACACGTGGGCGATCGCTCCACATGTCTAGTCTGTATTGACTTGTGCGAAATCCATCATTGACAGTGCGTTTTGTAGACTGCTTTGCTCTCCATAGTGCCTTTCACTGCGCTATCTAACAAAAACGTAAAATGAAAGTTATGGAGTATTTGATTTGTGTATATGATGAATTCGTCGTGTAAATGAGACGTGAGCTGAAATGCTGGCAAGCACTGGATATCTGTTTCGATCTGGTTAGGTCTCATCAGCAATGTCAATCTATCGTGTATATTCAAAATGATAAACGTTCTCATCAGTGCCCGTTAGTCGAGTGGGTAGTATGCTTGCGTTCTACCTGTGAGGTCCCTTGTTGGATCCCCAGTTGGGTCCATGGATTCGCACTGCTGATGAGACCCAACCAGGTCGAAACAGATGTCCACTGCTTACCAGCTTTTCATCTCACGCCTCATTTACACCACGAATTCATCATGCATACAAGTGATAGTAATAATAACAGTAATCAGTTTACGACTAAATATTCAATGTTACAAACAGTTTTCAGGAACGCCGTATGGTATACCGTAGCGATTTAGTCACTGCCTATGAATGCAGCCGATGGAAATTTTGGCGGTAAGATATGTTTAATAGAAGGTTCAGGGAAAACCTAATTTTCCGCTGGGAATACCCGCAGTATTAATGGACAATAGATTTAGACCAATCACAGCCATGCGAATTATCGGTATTTTCTGAGTGATAATGAATTGGTGGAATCGACGGTAACGGGCAGAGTACTGCAATCTGATTGGCCCATTCGTTGCTTTGGTGTTTGTATTTTTTTCCGGGGAAAACCAAGGCTGTGCGCAGCCCCATAAATATAGCGCTCTTCTCCATTGTTCTCCGCACTTTTCTGGCGCTTCCACAAGACGTTCGCACTGTTCTGGAATTGTTTTAACTGGAATCGCTGGGAGACGTCTCGTGGGACAAGATTCTGTGAAACACTGGCAGACGAGATGAAAAGTGTTAACTGAGATGACGAAGACTGCAGCTGTGGGTACCAGTCACAGTCTTTTCCTTCTGATCGGCAGTACGGGCCCATGGAGTGATGTTATTGAGGTAATTAAGAAATCCGACGGCACAATGATCTTCGTTGAGCAAAGCCTTATTGTGCGCTTTGCAAAACAAGGCACAGTTCAACTGGCCAACACCGATGTCAGGTTTGCCAACTCTTGACACAAGTCGCCAACTGTTGCCCTTTGGTGTCAGTTTTCCGTTCAATGTGGAGATAAGTAGGAAAATGAGTTACTCTAAAAGTGATAGTTTCTCAAACTGGAGTGTGTTTTCTTCATCCACTTTTAAGGATGATGATTCAGTCTTGGTCTTGAAGTGATCACTCCTGGGTTCAATGTGAGGTGAGCAAGTTCCACCTCACAGTTGTGAAGCCGTCTTTTGGCCGATTTACGTATATGTGAAAGAGGAGCTACTCGTGTAAAAAACCGCGGGGGAATTGATTTAATTAACGTCGTCTCAAAGTTTCTTGCTGACTGTACTCCGTCAGTTCTCTATCGCAAGGGAACCAAGTTGATTTACACTTGATCGAGACTGCAATGTCCAGATTTTTACACTTCACCAAATCCTGGAACGCTGACTTTTCATCAACCCGCAATTTTATATTACCTGACCGAAAGCGGCATTCTGTTCATTCGACCGCTCTGTACCAGGTGCTACATCTCACTTAATGGTGTGCCGGAGAAGTTTGCTTCAGTTTCACGATCTTTGTTGGAGTCAAGTTCCAG